TCCATCATGGTCTTCAGGGGTGACAACGCATCTGCATTTTATAGATGTCTATGGGCCACAGCATCCAGTTACCTTTAGGTTAACTGTGTGCTGGTTTGTCATCCTTATATAAAAAAATATTATATAAAAATACAGCTGTAGATGTTTATGCGCAACAGCATCCACTTACCATCAGGTTAACTGTGTGCTAGTTTGTCATCCTTATATTAAAAAAATATTAAATAAAAATACAGCTGTAGATGTTTATGGGCAACAGCATCCACTGACCATCAGGTTAACTGTGTCCTAGTTTGTCATCCTTATATTAAAAAAAATTATATAAAGATACAGCTGTAGATGTTTATGGGCGACAGCATCCACTTACCATCAGGTTAACTGTGTGCTCGTTTGTCATCCTTATATTAAAAAAAATATTATATAAAAATACAGCTGTAGATGTTTATGGTCAACAGCATACACTTACCATCAGGTTAGCTGTGTGCTAGTTTGTCATCCTTATATTAAAAAAATATTAAATAAAAATACAGCTGTAGATGTTTATGGGCAACAGCATCCACTGACCATCAGGTTAACTGTGTCCTAGTTTGTCATCCTTATATTAAAAAAAATTATATAAAGATACAGCTGTAGATGTTTATGGGCGACAGCATCCACTTACCATCAGGTTAACTGTGTGCTCGTTTGTCATCCTTATATTAAAAAAATATTATATAAAAATACAGCTGTAGATGTTTATGGTCAACAGCATACACTTACCATCAGGTTAGCTGTGTGCTAGTTTGTCATCCTTATATTAAAAAAATATTATATAAAAATACAGCTGTAGATGTTTATGGGCAACAGCATCCACTGACCATCAGGTTAACTGTGTCCTAGTTTGTCATCCTTATATTAAAAAAATATTATATAAAAATACAGCTGTAGATGTTTATGGGCAACAGCATCCTCTTACCATCAGGTTAACTGTGTGCTCGTTTGTCATCCTTATATTAAAAAAAATATTATATAAAAATACCGCTGTAGATCCACTGGCATCAGGCCGATTGTGTGTTCCTTTGTCACCATTATTCTACATAAAAAAGTATATAATAAATATTAATATACCTGGTTGCCATTACAGCGCCTCAGAGTAAACACAATTTAAGATATCAAAGTCAATATACCGTCAAATTGTGTGTGTATTCGACTAGAATATTATTTGAAATACGTAAGTACGTAAGTACGTAGTGGAGCCACGCTGCAGCTGTATTATGGTTGTAGCACAAATGGGTCGGCTCGACCGGGGAAGGACCACGATCTCCCAGAATACCAGCGCAAAAGAGCAGCTTAATGCTGCTGAGCTTCGTATGATGAGTGTAGAGAACCGGAGACCCTTTTTACTGGAGACAAGGCATTCTGTCTTAGTCCTCAGGGTTGACAACGTATCTGCATTTGATTCTTAATCGAGGATAAATGTAGACGTCTATGGGCCACAGCATTCATTTACCATCAGGTGAACTGTGTGCTCCTTTGTCATCCTTTCATCCTTATTCTCCATAGAAAAAGTAAATAATAAATATTCATGTACGCGGTAGACGTTATGACGCCTGATAGTAAACACAATTTAAGATAACAAAGTCAATAAGCCGTCAAATTGTGTGTGTGTATTCAACCACAATATTACTTGAAATACAACTAAATGTCACGTATTGTCTCAGGAGGCATGGACTGCATTTCACATACAATAAACAGGGTGTATAGTTTACGCCAACGAATGCCAAAACGCTTGATTACGATATACATCAGTGAACGAAAGAAACTTTTTTTTTATGAAACTAAAGTGACAAACAAACTTCAGTCCACCTGATGGTAAGTGGCTACTGCAGTCCATGGACATCTGCAGCCAAGTTCAATTAAATATGTTACATATTATGCGTGATCTATTATGGAAATTCTCACCGCCTGTATTTATACTGACTCGCTGCTCCCTTCAGACTAGCATACACAGTTTCAGCATTAGACACAATTTGGTAGCAGAACAAGGTAAGGGTACTCACACAGGCGGACTCCTCGGTAAAAAGTAGTCTTACCACTTGGTATAAATACATGTCATTATAAATTTTCATAAGTGCACTTAACATGAAAATATTTCAAGGACATCATTCTGATATCAAGGGAACACTTAAGATAGTGATTTAAAGATCTAAGATAAAGGCATTAATTAACTTCAATTTAAATAATTTCACCGGTGATATTTTACTTTTAATATTTGTTATTTCTTTTAACATTTTCGAGGATTCGAGGTCAATATGTCACGCAGCGGCACGCCCTTGATAAACAGCTGAAACCTACCCTTTTATATGAACATCGATACTAGAATATTAAATTAGGTCTTTCGAAGATTTCTACGCAAGACGCACCCACAAATAATAAATGCGTAACTATTTCAAAGTTCATAAAACTATTGACGAGATGAAAAATTACGATGGAGCTAATTTTTGTAGTCATTAATTACATAAAAAATGCTAAATGGTATTTGTATCATTCCGACACATTTGAATGTTCTTACTGTTAGTGCTGGAAACGGTAGTAAGGGTGTGTTGAAGGAGCATGCGCGACACTCAAGGACATATACCGCGCCTCAGTTTAGCGAGAGGCAGCGCCGCGGCCGCCTGCCCCAGCGAACTCCATTCCTATGTACGACGATGCGCAGTGTCGCAGTGGCCGACCCGTGAACCCGACCCGACCACAGCATGAGCACCTTACCCCAGCCCCGACAACGGCTCCGACTCGCAGAGCAACCTTAAGCACCGAAGCCCCGCGTTCGCTCCGATTCAGTCTTGTAATTGAATTTTGACGTTCAATAAGCAACGTAATGGTGATTTGATTGGCGAGAGCTTTCCGCTTCGATATTGCAGCTTGCTTTAACTAATTTTCTATAAGGGCCAAGCTTTGTGTATGTGTATTCGCTTTATATGTTAGGAAAATGATATCGCACCGATATGAGGACTTACGTAACGCTGCTTTACGGAGTCATCGGTGCATCACGATGCGATAGTAAAATTGTCAGGCGAGTGTAGGGAGCGACGGACGATAGACGCGAGCGCGAAACAGCTGTGACCATGACTTGCTGGGAAAGTGTAGGCCTGCTAGGCCCTTGCGCACTGCTCGCATCGTCTGATATCAGGGTGAGTGTGTTCTCAATAAATTAACGAAATTTTATAGTAAATATACGAAGGCTTTTTTTTCGATTTAAGGACTAAATGACTTCATTTGGTCTGAATAAATATAATATTTATACCAAAACCGTGATTTATTAAAGTTTGTATTTAATTATATTGATGTAAGTTCAGCACTTATTTTTGTAGGTACATTCGTATTAGGCAAATATTATGAACATAATACTACAAACAGAATAAAATAAATATTGTTTGCAAACATGGTGATTAAAGACGCTTTATCTTTAACTATAATTTAGTAATGACTCATCTCGATTTTACAAAATACATTAAATGTTAAATATGGAAATATACTACTTCAATGAAGAACGCTTTCTTCATTTGTTTTCGTGGCTTCCCTTTAAAAACATGTCAGTATGGTATCTATAGTGTTTCTTACCACTGAAGAAGTTTTACAGCGAAATGGATTTTGGTATTGTTTGGACACCACGTGGATTACCGTGGAATTGGAGCCGTTTGAGGAAGTGAAACCGGAACATTTATTCTCGAAGCCATTGTCAAGAGACGTTTACTACACAAAGTATCCAGATATGCCTAGGAGCGAGTCAGAAGATGAGAATCCGTTGACCGTCTCTGGATTTAAAACAAAACACGAAGAATGGAAATCGAAAATACGCATCAGAAAATTGGAATCTCGTAAACGGTATTTAAGTCAATCGAACTACAGCAAGTCATCGAACAGTAATCCATCGGTTATTGGTAACGATACTACTACAAGGGTGACATCAATTATGCAAAAAACTGGTGAAGAAATAGTTACAGCAGCCAATAATAATGACGAAAAAGTGCGAGTATTCTTTGAACGCTTACTCGAAAATATACCTCCACCGCCCGTCGAAGATTTAGACACAGATAAAAGATGTTCAATTATAATACCTCCTGAACAAGACAAAGATTTTAATAACGTTGATCTTCCTGACTATGCAAACTTTGAAAGAGATAAAAATCTTAATTTGAATCATGAAAAAAGCTTAGTTCCTAGTACATCTACATTAAAGAGAAAACAACGTAAAGTTACCTTCAATACAGACTCTTCTAAGTGTGATTCTTGGTATGAAACAATTTATGGCGTGTCAGAATTAATTGGTTCGAGAGAATCCCTTCAAAAAGCTTTTACTACCAACAATATTGTTTTGCCGCAGCAGCTTTCTAAAGAAACCGATAATGAGTTACCTAAGGGTAACGACTCAAAGGTCTCCTTATCGTGGTCTGATTTAGTTAAATCTTGCGGAATAAGCGATTCAATACTAAATAACGAAGAATCTTTTAACAATGATGACAATATTGTGAGTCGATCTCATTGCGCGGATGGTAAAATACTTGACGTTTCTTTTGATGACTATGAACTATCATACACTAAGTTTGCCGTGCACAAAATTTGTCAGACCTTAAAAATTGACAAAGGTATAATAGACTCGTCTTCGATGAATGACTTAAACAGCATAGAGCACTTGAAGAATTATGTCTCTAAAGTGGACCCAACCTTTTATGGCTCTCTTTATCATCTAGCTCCCATAGATGTAGACGAGTTTGCAAATGTAACTACAATTTAGTTAAGCAATACTTTTTATGAACTTAGATACTTAGCAATTATATTTCTTATAGAAAAATAAAACTACCTTTTACTTTTTAATCGTTTCTTTTGATTTTGCTACACCAACTTGTGTATATTTGCTATTGCATAGCCTATAAATGAAATAGGTACTGTTTATTTTTTTATTTTTATGTATAATTAACCTTTCATTTAAAATGTATGATTAATAATGATTTATTTTGTTACAGCCCCCCGAGAACGAGTTGCAGAAAAATTCGGACCGTGTGCTCTCTGAGCACGAACTGCGAGTTCAGAGGTCACTTCAGAAGCTAAATGTGCCCGAATGGTGAGTTGGCATATATTCTTTATTTCATCTGTATACATTTTCACGCCTATAATATTTGCGAGATGATCGAAATCTTTCTTATTTTTTTATTTTTTGTGCTTTGGTAAAGTTACCATCTCAAAATGTAGGCAAAAATTTTTAATGTTTTTTTTCGACATTTATTTAAAAACGAAAGATTAGTGTTTTTATACAACAATATCAGAGTAATGAATGAGCTAACAGTCCTGACGGTCAATGACTATTGCAACCCACACGCAGCTTCAAGGCACTCCCCTTGCTGCCTCAGCCAGTATCGGAATCCTTGGCGTCGACATATCGAATAGTGTGCAGTTTCGTGGTCACTTGGAAGGGAAGGCCAAATTGGCCTCTAAAAAGTTTGGCGTGCTCAGCAGAGCGAGACAGTATTTCATGCCGGCACATCGTTTGCAACTCTACAAAGCGCAAGTTCGGCCTCACATGGAATACTGTGCTCATCTCTGGGCCGGGGCACCCCAGTGCCAGCTCCTTCCACTTGACCCCATCCAGCGCAGAGCGATTCGAATCGTCGACGACAGAGTTCTTTCTGATCAGCTCGATACACTGGCACTGCGTAGAGATGTTGCATCTCTTTGCGTATTTTATCGCATCTATCACGGGGAGTGCTCTGAGGAATTGTTCGGACTAATTCCAGCCGCTCAATTTCACCATCGCACATCGCGACAAAACTCGCGTTACCATCCATACCATCTGGATGATTGGCGGTCCACCACTGTGCTATTTAGAAGAAGTTTTCTCCCTCGCACAACTTCCTTGTGGAATCAATTACCACCAGCGAATTTTCCGATACGACTTAGGAACCTTCAAGAAAAGAGCTTACACCTTTCTAAAAGGCCGGCAACGCATCTGCAATTCCCCTGATGTTGCGGTTGTTCATGGGCGGCGGTAGTCACTTACCATCAGGTGAGCCGCATGCTCGTTTGCCCCCTATTCTATATAAAAAAAGCAAATACTACTAATAAAAACAGAGAAAGTTACCGATGTGTTGTTATACACGTGGTAGAGCCATGTTGCAGCTATTAATTGTATAGTTCGAGCACGGCCGGCTCGACCGGGGAAGGACCACGCTCTCACAGAATACCAGCACGAAATAGCAGCTTAACGCTGCTGTGTTTCGTATGGTGAGTGTAGAAAACCGGAGACCCTTTTTACTGGAAAAGAGGCATTCCATCTTAGTCCTCACGGGTAATAACGCATCTGCATTTTGATTCTGAATATAGATATAGATGTCTATGGGCAACCACTTGCCATCAGGTTGACTGTGTGCTCGTTTGTCACCCTATCCCTATTCTGTTATCCCTACGACCTCTCACAGCCTGTGATCCCGTGGTTGTCTTGTTGTTCTGAGTAGAATAGAATAGAATAAATATTTTTTTGGAAATATTGGTAAAGGGTGGCAGATATTGGTAGTACTAATCCAAACGAACTCCTTAGTAGAAAAGGAGCCCTATTTTTCTTAATCACAAATAAAGTGGAAATACGCATCATAACCCATTATACTTGGTAGAGTCATGCTGCAGCTATATTAGTAGTATAGTTGTAGCACGAATGGGTCGGCTAGACCGGGGAAGGACCATGCTTTCACAGAATACCAGCGTAAAATAGCAGCTTTATGCTGCTGTGTTTCGTATGGTGAGTGTAGAGAACCGGAAACCCATTTTACTGGAAAAGAGGCATTCCATCTTAGTCCTCACGGGTGACAACGAATCTGCATTTTGATTCACAAACGAGGATAGATGTAGATGTCTCGTTTGTCACCCAATCCTATAAAAAAAACCATTTAAAATCTTTTGAAAAAGTTTTCATTTAATCGCCTTATTCCTAATCTAGGTAGATGTATGACACATACTTTGTGTCTTTTCATTGTTATCTATCGTAAGAAAGATATGTATTAAAATGTGAAATACGGTTGAGAACATCTTACTGGGTGATATGTAGCAATGAGAGATCAACAAGCCCTCTTATATTGTCATACCTAAGCTTTCGTCATCTAAGGAGTAGGTATTATCCGCAACGGATTTAAATCTAGATACTTTTATGTTCATTCGTTTTACTATGGATTTAACGTTTTAATATAGAATATAAATATTACCTATAATCTATATTGAATAAAGAATTTTCTGTTTCTATTTCTATTTGATCTATACTTCAACTCTTGACGTGCTAGGTGGCAACAGTGGTAATTTTGGAAAATTGGAGTAAACGGAGAAAGCTATTTGTTAAAAAATTACCAAGTGTGTTTTAGGATAGATTCCGTAGAGCAAAATCTAATCATCTTAAATATTTAAAAAGGTTTTTTTTGCAAGTTTACTAGATTTTATTGCCATTATTTTAAAAAGCCCGGGTATTAAAAATAACACATTACAGGCTTTTTTGAAGCCTAATATATCGATAATTTAAATTTCATTGTTTTTTTTTTTTAATATGATTTATACTTTTATTTTAACTTAGTTATTTGATTCTTTTAATTGGTAACAACTAGAATGGCGTCTACATAGTGACATTAAAAACCTTATCCCCTATTTTGCCACCCTTAGGGAGTGAAATTTTCTTCAAATTTTAACGGAAAAGACAGTTTTATAGAAAAAGAAACATTAATATCGATTCACACTTGGCGCAGGTATCGCATAACATACATTCAAAATAAAGTACAGTCGAATTGAGAACCTCCTCATTTTCTAAAGCCGCCTAAAAACAAAAGTCAATTGTTAAAAGTGTATAATATAACGTTTTTAGAATTGTTTAACAGTTAATGATGTATCATTGTATATGTGTATAAAGTACTCGTACTAAAAAATAACACAAGTAATCATAAACTTATTTTTTATTTATTACATGTAAAGAAAACCGTATTACATAACCAGGTTATCAGCAAAATCGATAAAAAACTTTTTATTTTTGTCAAGCAATTTTTGTACAGCAGCATCGATAATATTTTCATTAGGCACTCGTAGTACCGAGAATGTTATTATCGATGCTATCGGGCATGATTTCGTGTGATAAAGTAATTATTTTGTATGATTTAGGTTACTACACGTCGCCTTACTGAAATGTAACAACTGAATTACCTTGACATTTTTTTTTTTCATTTTTATACGTATTTCTATAATTTTTTTTGTAAAGATTAAATAAGTGTACCGTGTAGTGGCGGTGTCAGAACGTCGTGTCGTAAGAGACGACAGAGGGAAACCAGGAGATGGCCGGCAGCGTCTTTTTTATAATACCTACAAAATCTACTAAATAAAAAAAGATACCGTTGTCAACCCGCCGCCCAAGCACGGCAACTACAGCAAACATACTCTTTGAGACTTTTGAAGCTGTAATGAATGGAAAAAGAATTTATTTAATAAGGATCACTATGAAAGAACAAAACAGTCTGTATTATCTAGCTCTTCAAACTAATATTACGAATTTCGGGAAATAAATCGCCAGTTTAAAAACAATATTTCACAAAAATCTATATCCCTTTTTGTATACAAATAAATAAAATTGAAGTGTCTGTTTATAATGTCGAAATAACAGCGTTTTACTATATGCATATATACGGTACTTATAAAAAAAAACATTTTTTAAATGTTTATCTGTCCGTCTTTCTGTCTGTCTGTCTGTCTGTCTGTCTGTTTGTTCCGGCTAATCTCCTGAACAGCTGGACCGATTTTGACTGGACTTTCACTGGCAGATAGCTGATGTTATAAGAAGTAACTTAGGCTACTTTTATTTTAGAAAATGAATTAGGGTTCCACGCAAAAATTAAAACCCATGAAATCCAATCGTAATAAATTAAGCGCGGGGGAAATCGCGGGGAACAGCTAGTATATTAATAAAAATAGACATATACCGTATAGCGTTAGTTAGTTAAGTTAACCTTTTCTTAAAGCCATCGGCGTATTTTTAAACCTTTTATATTATTATTTCGGTCGGGCATGGACACTACTTGACATTTCTAACGTTCAAGATAATGTTGAAGCTTATAATGGAAATAGTAGGAGTAATTTTAATTGATATCACTTTTAATTTTATTAGAACGGAAAATTTTCCTTTACAGAAGACAGGGTAACGATTGTAGTCCACTTGACGGTAGTGAATACTGTGTACATCTTTGATGGAGATTTGATGGAGAATCAAAATGGCAGTTGGTGGTTCATGACAGTTACGTGGTCACTCCTGAGGACTAAGGCCAATAAAATCGTAATCTATTCTATAGATTGTTTATTGCTTGGTTCCTACAAATAACGGCAATACAAAGTTTGAAATAGTTGTTTTTTTATCGTATAGTGTGTGTGACAAACGAGCACACAGTCCATCTGATGGTAAGTGATAGCTGTGACCCATAGACATCTACATCTATCGTCATAAATAGTCAAATGCAGATGTGTCGTCACCCATGAGGACTAAGATGGACTGCTTCTTTTCCAGTAAAATGGGTCTCCGGTTCTCTACACTCACCATACGATACACAGCAGTGTCAAGCTGCCATTTTACGTTGGTATTTTGTGTGGTCCTTCCCCGGTCGAGCCGACCCATTCCTGCTACAACTATACTACTAATATAGCTGCAGCATGGCTCTACCATGTTTTATTATATCTGTAACAATTATTATAATATGTATGTACCTATAATTTTTTTTTATCGAACGCAAATCGGAGATGTAGTGCTCTATTGTTACCAAATCAAAAATCGCGATCCACTCAACTTCAATCATTTCCACCACTTATGAGTCGGGAAGGGACGCCCTAGGCGAAAATTTATCGACAAAATTGGCGATATATTGAAAATGGGCCAAATTAAGAGTACCTTTAACCGACGAGCGTGTATGCGTAGGTATATGGATGTGGAGGAAGCGAGAGAGGTGTGTCAGGATCGTGCCAAATGGAAGTCCATAGTGGAAGTCTCTGCCTACCCCCTGGGTGACAGGCGTGAGTGTTTATGTTTTTTATATAATAAAAAGTACACAAAGGTAGGTA